TCAAGCGGAAAAGGATCGGTGCTCCCTCGAGTAGCACTGCTCGTTTACCACGGACTACAATTCAAGAGAGTCATACTCAACCTGCACCGGCTGTTGCATCTACATCGTCAATGACGTGGAACCGTTTTCAGCCATTATCTGCTGCTGCTGTTGCATCTTGTTCAGCGCTAACCTACATTCAGGAGACTCATCATCCCACGGCAGCTGCATCGTCGACCTTAGAAGGATATTCCGACATCCGGGAAACTCATCCTTCTCAAATAGCTGCTAATTATATGAAGTCAACAATGAAGTGCGATCTCCAGCCGCATGGTTCAGCAAATCAGACCTATAATACTATTCAGCAGACTCATCCGGCAGCCACCGCCACACAATGCAGGAACAATGACTGCAACCAGTTGCCTGTCTCTTCACATAGAAGTGGTATTGCACCAGTTGATGATGATCCTAATAAGCTGTATTATACAGAAGAATTTACTGGTTCAATCGGGACATATGATCAGGCTGCATGGAAGCAGGAGAGCGAGTTAGATAATCTTACTTTTGATACAGACTCATTTTTGAATTGGTTAAATATTAATTTTAGTTCTTAAACTTTTAATTTAAAAAATTTTTAGTATCCAAACTTTTTTTGCACGATCTTTTTGGCCTTAAATTATGAAAATATATTTTTTAATCCCTAAATTTATAATATATACAAATTTTTAATTCTTGAATTTATAAATTCAGGGACCAAAAATTAATATGCATATATACATAGATTTAAAATTTAACTAATGAAAGAAACAAAAAAAAAAATGCATTTTCATAGTTTAAGGATAAAAAAGTATAGAAAATAATTTATGAACAAAAAATGTTCAAAATTAAAAGTTCAAAAATTAAAAATAACATTTAACCTTTTAAATTTGCTGCAATATTAAGCTTGATTTTTCGTTATCTTGGAATTGTTATATATTATCTATATATAGGTACGATTTGAAAATATAGGACAAATTCACTGTAGTCTTGTCCAGATATTAATGGTTGAATTTCCAGGGTATAGTGTAGTTTTTGTAATTTCATTTCTCTTTCTTTTGCCATGAATCCCATTTCTATTGAAATTAGGAATTTCGTATTAAAGCTACGGCAAAATCTGAAAAAGTTGCCCCGTTGGAAAAAAAAATTCTATATATTCATATAAATGTACATGTACGGTATCTTTTTTTTTTGAACAAATACTAAAAATCTACTACCTTAATTATATACATATCTATCTTCCTTTGAAAAAAAAAAAAAACTCATTATATTACTAAATTACTCCGTCCGTAGGAAAACCTCATTATATTATAAATATGTTAAAAATAAAATAAAATAAAATATAGTTAGAGAAATATAAATTAAGTAAAAAAATATTGTATAATTTAAGTCATATTAAATTATATAAGTTGAACAATTAAATATAAAATAAATTCTTTAATATAAAAAATATTTTTTATCTAATTATTTTTATTTTATAATATACTATATTTTAAATTATAAAATACAACTCTCTTAATTAAAATGATATTAATTTCCCGTTACAATATCATAATTAACCCACATCATAATTAACCCACAAAAGTCATGAGTCTAATTAATGACACGTTGATCCGAGTAAAAAAAATTTAATTTTTTTAAAGTAAGATATTGAGTTTAAATTTTATAAATAGAAAAATAAATGTTAAAAGAGTTTCTCTCCATATGAGTTCTGAACAAATTCAACTCTAAATTAGTCAGAATGTAATGTGATTTCGGGATATGACTTGTAAAATAAAAAATCACAAGTCTAATTTTCTGGGCCAAAGTCCATATACTACGTACTTACACTAGGGCGAGGGACTCATGCAGTCAAAGACTCAAAGTACAACAGGTTAGAACACAATTTCATTACCTATTTTCAAAAAACAGGTTAGAACACAATCAGTCCAAGTCAAGTTTATAACAATTTGTTAGGTGTATATAATATTTTAATAATAATTAAAATTTAAATATCATTATTATTATATTAAAATTTTTCATCTTCTAACTCCGCATTGTATTTGTTAAAAGAATTGGATTTTTTATTTAAGTAATTCGATCTTAAATTTTAAAATATTTAAATTAATTGATTGAAGTTTCAAGTTC